AGGAGAATTGTTTCAAATGAGGAAGTGAGAAATGACAAATATATATATAAATATGTGCTGTTGATGTTTTTCCTGTCACTGGTTATAAATCATACATTTTAGTTGCCTTTTCCAGTTTTACTTATACCAAATTAGTCTGTATATTTTTGTAATTAAAGTATTCTTAAGAAGATGGATTTGGGTCTCTGTCCTCCTCCTCCTTTTTAAATCAATAGAAAACACTTGTCAATTTCAGGTTGTAAGCCCTACTATCTACAAAATGATGACAAAAATATATAAATTGGGTGATTCTAAGAATTTACTTTAAGAATACTAAAGCCTCGTATTTTCCTGAAACTCTGAAATATTTCATATTCTCATTGAAAGGAGACATGCACTGGAAAAGACTTCATGCATAACAGAATGCAAGAAAGAATCCAATATGCAAGCACTGCATAAAAGCATCAGATAAATAATTTATTTGATTCTTGAAGCACTGCATGAAAAATATGAATCTAAAAATAGTTGTTATCTAAAGAAATAATTTTATTTATTTATTCATTCATTTGTTAGCTCATTCAATTTCTGTAGTCACCTAATTCAACCAAGTGACTCTGGGTGGCTTACAGTTCTAAAATTGTAAAGGAATTAAAACAATTTTTAAATATATGAAAACAATAAAAGTGTCCACAAAACCCAATAGCAGCTATGATGATTAATCAACTAATAATAAAGTAACGATGCCCCTAACACATTCTAACGATGCCCTTAACACAGACTTGGGTACTTAGTCATGTTTTTAAAGCTTTGCAAAAGGCCAATAGGCTTGTGGTCCTTCTAATCACCAAGGCGAGAATATTCCACAAGGCAGAGGCTATAGCAGAAAAAGTCCATCTTCTATTTCCTGCCATTCAGTACTCTTTGGCTAACAGAATGCTTGCAGCATGCCCAACCTGTTGGATCTTGATAAAAGATAGTACCTCAGGTATCCTGGTTCCGAGCCAAGTAAGGCTTTAAAGGTGGTAACCAGAACCTTAAATTGCACCCAGAAACATACCAGCAGCCAGTGCAGCTCACAGAGTAGTGGTGTTACATGTGCTATGCAGCCTGTACCATTTATTAACTGTGCAGCTACATTTTGAATCAGTTGAAGTTTCTGGGTGCTATTCAAGGGGGACCCCATGGAAAGCATATTCTAGTAATTTAGGTAGGAAGTTACAAAGGCATAGGAGATGGTGAGCAGGCTTCCCAGTGTGTTAACTGGGCACAACTGGTGCTCTACCCAAAGGCGTGGAAGGATTCCCTTAGCCACAGCTACTCTTCAAGCAGGAGTCGTGAGTCTAGGAGGACCCCCAAACTGCACACCAAACCTGCCTGGGATCACCCCATCCATAAATTTTGGTTTATGAAGAAAATAGTGGTTTGGTGGAATTGCCTTTTCTAATTAGCATACTTATATGTGTATGTATGCATATATACTTACTGTAGACATTCAGAGAAAATAACTATGTTTTCACTATTGTACTTCCTAGAAATGTTTGATGTATGAATGCCCTCTTTGGCCTAGTTCTAGTTATGTCTTTTTTTAAAAAAAAATTATGACTAATTATAGGTTTGAATGCAGATCCATTCAAGCACAGGTGCAGATCCAATGTGGAATGTGTCCAATCTATTTTGGAAATATACTTTAGTTACTTCCCATAGTCTGCTAATTTGCAGTGTCTAATAACTGCACAAGCATAGACAATGGTGAAAGACACAGAGTTACAATTTCTTTCATCTTTGTTAGCAATGTCATTTTGGATGATTGGAAACATAAGAATAATGGCGAGGGACAGCTTAAGACTTTAAATGAAGGAGAGATTTTAAAAAAGTTTTTTTTTTCAAGTACCAGGAAATCCTTGTTGTTCTTTTAATGCACTACAGAGTAAGTTTTATAGTAGTCTGTCATAGAAAATGGACATTCAGGCTCAAAAGTGCTTTCTTAGCTTCAGGCTTCTAAGGCCATTTTCCAGTATGGATCTCTACAGCAAGTGGAGCCTCTTTAGTCTGGAAAATGTTTCTGCTCTAAGGATGCTGCCAGGATAGATAGAAGGGATCAAGCACTGATGGAAGTTGTTTGTTAACAAGGTCCCAGAAGAACATGAATACATGGCTAGAATATTAAGATTCTGGACCACAAACATGCAATAAAAGCCTGTAATTCCCAAGTATTCATACAGATTTCTAAACTTGTAACTTACCAGTAGAAAACATATATTTGTAAAGTTTATATCTGAACAGAATATATTGTATTGTGTTACATAGAACTTTACAACTTAAAAAAAAGCTTGATAGAATTACGGGAGAGAATAAGCTACTGTTGAACAAATTCCTACCATGAACATGGCTGGCCTATTTATTAGGAAATCCATAGAAATTACCATGGTTGGTGAAAATAACCACAAAGAAATTCCATGATGCAGTTATTATGCTACTTTACAATATTGATTTCCGACTATAAATCCAAAATTAGTTATGTGTTATAATATTTAATACAGAACATAAGAAACCAGATATTATAGCTGACAGTTAAGATGCTTGAATCACAGAGGATTCAGAAATATCTTTATGAATTACCAGTGAAGTCGGTCATTTGGAAAATTGGGTTTCCTGATGGTTAGTGTCACATGATAAAAATAGCAAATGAGTATGTAACAAAAATACTTCATAGCAGAGATTAAGACAGTGCTTGGGGCTTGATTCATTGCTAAATGTATTTTATGGACCCTGTATTAAGAACATTGTTTTCTGTTATTTATCAGCTGATCAAAATCTTTAATAGTGGGGTAAAATATATATTAAAAGGGGGGGCATTATTTGCAGGTGAAGAGAGTACCAAGTCTGGTGAATATGATTATAACTAAACAGTGATGTCAACCCAGTTGTTTTAGGAGAAGAAAGAGGGGAAAAGCAAAGGACCAAAACAGTGAACAATAATGTGGACAAAATAAAAAAAACAATAAAAAAGATTTCTGAGCAGTTGTGGAAAATTGCAACCATTTTGGTGCATATTAAATAAGATAATGCATGCAAACTGCTTCTTGATATCCAAATGAAATATAATTACAATAGACTGAAGGTTGAACCTTCG